AATGGTAAAATCAAGTCCATCTCGATATGAAACTGTTCCAGTACATGCTTGCTAAAATTCCATTCACTTCACACACAAATGTGGGAAGCTTGTTACCACTTACTGATACTCCACTCATTCTTAACAGTTTACATAACTGTCTGCAACTGGTGCAGTGCTCCTCCAGGGTTCACAAAATCCACCTTGCACCTCCTAGACACTCGAAACTTGCAGGAGATTCTTTAAGCCAAGTGGGCACTTTGTCAAACCCTCAGAAGTATTAAAAGGATTGTTGTGTGCTGTGAAATACGCAGCTCTGCAGATTCTCTCACACATACATTTTTGTCTGTACAAGTTTGTTAAAAAATACACATTTGTTAACCTGTAAGCATCCACCTGTTCACCCATGACCTGTTGAACACAAAGTCCTAACCGTAGATGGAGCAATAACTGGGGCCATATCTAACAACTAATCAAATACAGACATTTGGGTATCAATAAAGTTTGATTGTATCTTTTTCCAAAATTAAGTCTTAAAATTACTTATTTCATCTTGGTGATAAGCCATGTGTTCTTTTTAGTGTTAACAACTGAAACAAGCAATGAATCATTGTGATAAAATGTGTCAATTCTCCATGATAAATTCATTTAATGGACAATTGATGATTCATTTTCTGACATTCTCTCAACTGATTAATGAAGTTTGAGAAAGTGTGATTTTCAGCTTGCAAAGTGGTTTCACCATCATTAAATTAGTGTTGTGTGATAAAATACATTTTCTTTCTTTCTGGGTTTAATTATTCCATACACTCATTAGCAGTACTCTCAATGCCAATTCTATTGAATATTTCATGGGATAAGGATAAAATCCTCCCACTTTGACCTTATCAGTTAGATTTTTCCCTTTTCTAGTGTATCTCCTACACAGCAGACACTCCAAACACTACTGTTGCCATTTCCACAACCGTTCTGCTACTGTTCAGCAATTAGATTAACACGTTTGTTGAATGGCTACAGATGTCTATCACAACAAGTGACCATTAGGTGTAACTCACCCTGAGAAGTTGTGCAGATTTTGACAATAAATGTCAGAACTGTTGATTTGTGATGGTCACAAGTTCTTATTTCAGCACCAAGGTCATAGAAAATTTGGACTTTTGAAGGAAATTACTGACCATCATATACAGTGATCTCAGTAACTGCTACATTATTTGGGATTATACACCAATCCAAGCATTACATTATGAACACTGACAAGTAAAGTGAATACCCCTGATAATCTCTGCATCATGGCAGGAAGGATTCTAGCAGGAAGGATGTATTTGAGAACAAAATGTCAGCTTCCTCCCTTTTTTCCTGCTTCTAAAACATCAACTGAGTGTAAAAACTGAACAGACAGAACTGCAGCTCTTGTCAGGTGTTCCCGGTCAATATTTATCCAAAGTGGAGGCAGGAACAGCGGTGACCCAGAGACATTGTCAGCAGACTCGATGATATGTACAGAAGGGCAAAGGCTGACCTGTGTGGTCCGATCCAGCCAACAAGCTACTGTAACTCAAAAAGCTGAAAAAGTTGATGCTGGTTCTGATAAAAGGTGTCAGAACACACACTGTTTGTCGTATACGCAGCTGCAGAGCCAGGGACGGGTGACCAAGCTGACCCCTGTCCACTGCCAAAAGCATTCATTCCTTCTATTTCATAAATGTTTATAGCCTGCAAGCCTACGCACTTCAGTTAATACACCTTTGGCCAACTTATTGACACACCTGAATTCCATGACTTCGGTGGGTGACTGAATATTTTTGGCAATAAAGATTGGAAGCTGTGGCCCAATGCCTTTGTCTATACAGTGCACATTAAATGTACATTACATCTTCATTTCTGTAGCAGTGGTAGAATGCAAAGGGGTCCGAATTGACATTTAAAAAAATCGAATGACTCCATGAAGGTAAACCAGGAAGGAAACTGACTCATGCACACAAATTTGTTGCACGAGTCATTGTTACAAATGACTTGTTTCTTACCATAGTGAACTGTGAGCACTGTGTTTAAGTATCTGTTTATTATATTACAATAAAATAAAAAGATGTACTTTTGCATGAGCTCCATATTCCCAACATTCCCTGCTGTACCCTGAGTATAACTTATGTAACAGCATTAGTCACCGACATCTTTAGCAGCTGCATTTAGCCACCTGTTGCTTAAATGCAGCCCTTCTCCTAGAATTCTTAGAGATGTGCATCAATCCACCAAAGTCTGCGGGTAATATTTGCATGTTGCACAAACATAACAGAGAACTATTGAAATTTCATTTATGATTGATTCTTTAAATGGCACTTTGGCCTATGCATGTCAACCACAACACAGAAATCAGTCAGTCAGCCTTATCTGGCTTGCAGCAGGTTTGAGTTAGTGCGACTACTCACTGCTCAAAAGAATGAATAAGAGAGTTATGGTCAGCACTGGAGCTATCAAAGAGAATAACATGAAAAAAACACCTACTACCTTAGAAAGGTTGGTCTGTTCATTAGTTTATTGTTTTTATTTTAAAAAATAAACAATTCATAAATAATAATAACATTAGACCTAATTAGAAGTGAATATAATTAATTAATATTATAATCTTAAGTTAGGTATGAACTTTATGTTGCAACCAGAGAAGTTTCTCTCTGCTGGTTATTAGAAAACTGTAAGTTTAAAGCATTAGTTTATTTTCCACACTAGCAGACAAATTCTAATGTAGTGAGTGTGCATTTGTTCTGACAGCTTGGTGATCTGTGTTTTGTGTCAGATGGTCCTTATAAATATAACTGAACCTGAAGCCCAGATCGTCGTCGTTTTTGCGGCTTCAGTTTGAGATTTACTTTGAACATAAGTCATGTAAAAGTCATTACTGCTGCAGCTCTGAACTTCTTTTCAGTTGCATTAAATCTAATAGCAGATCAGGTTGATGTCTGATGGATGAGGGACCCACTAGTATAACACAAAGTATATTCCCAGCTAGACACACACAGCTGGTGGCTATTTGCTTGTGTGCTCACATACACCAATAAACAAGTCCTCGAGGGGAGAGCATCTAAATTGCTTCGTAGAACAGATGGCATAGAAGCCTGAGATTGTTTTGCTACTTTTCAACATATCTGTCCTCTCGCCTCCATCTTTTACTTCTTTACTCTCTCAATCAACTTTAGGCTTTCATCTTTTCATCGCTTTCTCTTTCGCACACCGTTAGTTCCCTCCGTTCCCCAAGCAGCAAATGATCTGACATGATTATTGAAGGCATTTCCTTAAGAGAGAAGAGAACTGAGTGGAGCTTGGGGATATTTGTTTTCAAAAGGCATCACTTTCATACTCCAGGGAAAATGAAGAAGAGGGAGAGAATGATGAAGACAGAGATTGTGCAAGTGATAGAGGAAAGGTGCAAGTATATTAAAGTCAGGGAGAGAAGGAGAACATGAAGATGGACATGATAATTAGCTAAAATCAATGTCAGAGTCTCTGTAGAAGGAAGTGTGCATGCTGAGATGTTTGTTTTCTAAAGTTTACCTCTGAGCTTTAGGGAAGCAGGAGGGGAGGAGCAGTGAAGGGAAAAGTGAGGATGAGTTAACGAAGAGGACAGCCTGATGCAAACTTCAAAGTCACTGCAAAAATGGTGCAGGGTCAAATTTATGAAGCGTTTCAGAGCCCTGCAGTGGAAGTTGATATAAGAGTAAATCTTAATAGTGCAGACTGACTTCAGACTTGCTTCTGAATGTTACTGTCGGTCAAAATTAACAGGACATATTGTGGTTTTCTGGGTGTTTGTGGCTTGAACCCAGTTCAAAAAATGTTGGGAAACTTGTACCATATAGATAAAAACAGAACACATGATGTTCAAATCTCATAAATACATATGAGATAGTCACGATGCAAAACAGAAAACCGGTCAAAGGTTTAAAATGAGAATGTGTACCATTTCACCAAAAATTCTTGTTTTGAATTTGTTTGAAGCAACATCTGTCAAAAAGATGCTGGAAAAGTAAGTGGGGCTAATAAGATAAGGAATAGGCTAACTGGGAACAGGCCAGTAACGTGACTGGGTGTAAAAAGCACATCTTTGAGAGGCAGAGGCAGAGTTTCTACGAGGGAACGATGAATCTGGAGACATATGTATCTGCAACAGACCGTCCCAAAGTATTGGACCCCTTTGATAAGCAGACACTCAGGGAGCTCGACATAAAAACAAGGACGATTGTGTCATGGAAATCAGTGCATGGGCTCAGGAGCACAGCTCACACAGCTCACCGTGCCATCTACAAATGCAGGTTAATGCAGGTTGATCCAGAAACACTGCTTGAGTTCATTTAAAATATCCAGAGAAGATAGTAAAGTGTAAAACTGTTCTGTGGTATCACAAATCAAAATCTGAAATTCTTTTTGGGAAACATGGATCCTGGACCCTCTGGACTCCGGCCCACCTGGTTTGCTGATGTGTTAAGAGTTTCACTTGAACTTTATTACCTGAAAAACAACCCCACACCACATCCCTGCGTCCACATAATTTAACACTTGGCACAGTGCAGTCACACAAGTACTGTTCTCCGAGCAACTTGCAAACCCAGACTTGACTACAAGGTTTAGCTGTCCCGTTTTAGTATTTCATGAAACTGATTATCGCTCCGTCATGGCACCTGTTAGTGGGTGAGATATATTAGGGAGCCAGTGAACATTTTATCCTGATAGTTGTTAGAAAGAAGGAAAAATGGGCAAGTGTAAGGATTTGAGTGACTTTGACAGGGCAAAACTGTGATGGCTAGATGACAAACAGAGAAAAATACTGAACCTACATATTTACTCCCCAGTGAGGCTCAACAGAGAAAGACTTAAGACGGCCTAAAGACTTTGAGCTCTGTGTACGGATATTAACCCTCTGATGCATGAATTATGAAAGCCTTGGTCAAGAATTTTTTCTTAAGTGCTTTTATTCTTCTCAGGACATGAAAAGAAATGTTCAACTCTTTTTTTCTAATTTTTTTTTTTTTTTATAAAGTTATAGACTTGTCCACTCCAGTGGACTACATGCGCCCAAGCACTTAGCATGAAATACTGTGAACTTATTGTAAAAATGAATTATCTTGTGTTCTATTGTAAATATACAAGCACTTGTTTGCTTGTATGCTTTGAAAAACATCTCAGCAATTTTTTGGAACTTTCAACTCATATAGACCCAATGTTTAGGCGTAAATAACAAAACCAATCAACAGTTCCAGCCGTGAATCCTACACCTGAATATGGCAAACTATCTCCAACAAGAGAAACATTTTTGAGTCTACACAATTCTACAATGATGCAGGACAGTATTACCAAGCGCTTATTCGCATGCTGGAAGAAAACACAAACTGACATCTTAGTCTCTGCATCTCTGATGTTCATCACACCTAGGCTGTGTGAAAGTTTGTAAAGCATCCAGGGCACAATGGCACACAGCATTGCATACAGATGTATTTGGTCTTCCGTGTGCACGCAACATCATGGCATCTGTTTGCATTTTTCACCTCGATCAGTTGGGGCCAGTGATATTCTGTGGCAAACCTGACCTCACGGGCTACTTTGCTGACTGCTCTCCGCTTCATGGGTTGTGGGGTCCCACTGGGTCTTCCTCTTTTGCATTGCTGGAGGGTGCCACTATTTATCAGTGCACGAGCCACAGATGCTTTGAAGAGGAGGAGTCTCATCTTTTCCAAACCAAACATCTGGTAGAGGCGCCAGGCATTTACAATGGTCACATCCAAAAAATGAAAAAACACTCGGATGTACCACCTCTTGTTTCGACGTCTGTGGGGGTACATTGCCAGACATTGGTCAACAAGATCAACCCCACCCATGTGTTGATTGTAAAGGGCCACAGAGAAGGGCTTTTGGACCATCATCATCCTTTTTTCCTTCTTGACCCATCTGTTGGCAACATCTTCAGGGGATTGGCCAGCACAGGACGAGACCATGTGGATGACAGAACTGTCGAGCCAACGTGTGACAGTGATGTTTGCATTATTGCTGACAACAGAACAAGCTCCTCTGCCCAGTTCTTTTAGTTGTTTTTCACTCTTGAGTTTGTGATCTGCTCCCTTCAGCCTGTTTGCTCTGCATGTACCTGTGCCATAGATCCCTTGGTCTTTCAAGGCCTCGATGAGTGGAATGCTGCAGAAGAAGTTATCAAAAAACACCTTGTGATTTTTGTGTTTTATGTCATCACAAAGACGCATCACCACATCTCCAGCCATTCCCAATTCACTGATGCGACCACTACTTGCAGAGCCTTGGTACACTTCAAATCTATTCATATAGCCTGAGGTTCCTGCTCTCACCCATACCTTCACTCCCCAGGGTTTGGGCTTTTTTGGTATGTACTGCTTGATGGACAGTAGGCCTTTGAAAGGAATTATCTGCTCATCAACTGACTGAAATTCCTCAGGGTCTGCTGCTGCCTTGAATGTCTCCTGAAGAGCACATAAGATTGGTCTTATTTTGAAGAGCCTGTCTGTGTTTGCTGGCTGGTAAGTCAAGTTATCCACAAAGTGCAGGTATCTCAGGATTTGCTCATATCTGTTTACAGACATGGCATTTGCAATTATTCCAAGACGAAGACCGTCCTCACTAGACCAGTACATTCGTGCCCTAGGATACCGAATGTACCCCATGATCAGGTTGATCCCTAAAAAAACCTGCATCTCTTCTCCTGTTACTGACAGATTTTCTTTCCCTTTTTGTAGAGCATACAAGTTGGTGTTGTATGTTATATTATCAATTAGATCTGCTGGAAACAGATGTCTGAAGAAATCTATGGGATCCTTCCCCTCCACATTCAATTTCCACTCTCCTAGAAAAGGAGGCAAGTCTCCATCAAAGTCATTGTCTTGGACTTTCCAAACATTTTTGCGGGCTTGAGTATGGTCAGGTGCCATGTGCCCATTTCCCACAGCTCCCTGATCATGCTGACTTTCCTCTTCATCCTGCCCCTCATCATTCTCACTTTCTGTATCCTGACTGTCTGTGTCTTCATCATACGTAGCTCCTATGTCTCTGTTCTTCTCTGGCAGCCACTCATCATCAGTGGACTTATCACTGAACTCATCATCACTGCACTCATCACTGAACTCATCATCACTGGAGCTGCATGGAATTTCCTGGACTGTTCTGTACGCTGCCTTATTCTTTGCTGCATTTGAAGTCTACAAAATATGATAAAATAATTATTATAGTAACTCAAACTATAGCTGATCTGCACAGAAATATATATTTTAAATGAGTAGCTTATAAATGTAACAATTATACGCTTACTTATAACCAAAACAGTCCCAAGAAACAGTGAAGCAGTTTATGACTTATGTTAAAAAAATATAGTGGGTTATGCATGATGTCCACTTCAATGGACACATGGTTAATCGTAGTTTTCTACATATTAGACATAACAATTTCTTATTCCAAACAGATAATATCCTTCCCTTGATGTTACTGCATATCATAATATTTTTTTTACCTGTTGGGCTCTTCTAGCATAGAAGGATTGACAGGATATGCCAGCAGTGGTCGGCAGGGGTGGCAGTTTGTCAGCCATCTTTGATTCAGAGGAAATTTACTTGCAGTTGCACTAACTGAACACTGAATTGACCTCTATGGAGTATGGCAGCAGAGAGCACTCTAGAGGCTAATATGCAGTTCCACCATAGAAACCAATGCATTAAAGAGATATGTACGTTTTAGTAGCTGTCCACTCCAGTGACCACTATGCATCAGAGGGTTAAGAGGCTCTAAAGGGATTTCCAAGCATTATGACATCATTTCCCAGAGAACCAAATGGTCAGCAGGAGGTGGTTTTGTTTTCTAAAACTACCCTGGCAATATTCTCCAATAAGAAGTGAAGCACAAAACCAAATAAACTGAATAGGCATAAGATTGTTCTTTGTCTGTTTCAATCTGAAGGCAACAAGAAGGTTCAGTGTATTTCAAAAACCTCGCTTATCCCCAAATTCAGTAACAGCTGCAAAACTGTAGGACATGAAGGAACAATCATGCTTTCTATGAATATTTTCTCAGGCAGATTCACAACAGCTCCAGGGGTTTGTCAATAAAAATCTGTCTTCCTGTGGCATCTTAAAGCTTATTTCCTGGCAGAAACTCCAAATAGGTTACGGAATCTCTGAATGTCGTGTAAATGACAGGATATCCTGGAGCAGAAAATATAAAGATTAAAATGCCTTCACCGGCTAAACATTTAGCCACAATTCTTACCAGTGTGAGCACATGTGTATTCTAGCATATGTGCTCAAAGGTGTTCGTTTAAAACCCGGCAAACCTGCACTGTCCTAAAACAACTCCTGAAAAATGTTTTTTATGCTTGATTTCTTTCTTTCACTAAATCTGTTTATTTCCTCCACTCAACAGATGGAAAAGTACCTCATTTGTGGTTTACTTTGTGACATTTTAAATGTTTTTAATTTACATGAGCTGGGTTGGAAACTTGGTTTAGACAACAATAGAGATCTGGGGAAAGAAAGCGTGGGAGTGATGCTCAAACACACACATACACACGGGTTGGTGATGAGGCATTTTTACATGCTCATGTTCCCCAAAATAAGGATTTATAAGAGGGCAATATCCTCCTCTTTGCCCTGCCTTGTATTTCATCTCTCCTCAGCGAGCTGGATTTATAGCTCCAGCACAAACTTGCAATAAAATAAATATTACACTCTATCTAACGAAAGTGGTATGGGGGGGGG